TGTGTGTGTGCGAGTGTGTGTGTGCGAGTGTGTGTGTGCGAGTGTGTGTGTGCGAGTGTGTGTGTGAGTGTGTGTGTGTGTGTGCGAGTGTGTGTGTGTGTGCGAGTGTGTGTGAGTGTGTGCGCGCGCGAGTGTGTGTGTGTGTGTGTGCGTGTGTGTATTCTGTGTGTACGCGCGATTTTTTTCCAAAGACCAGAAATATTTTATTAATAGATAATGTTTACATTGTGATTATATTCGTAATTCATTGAGTATTGAGTATATTATCTACATTCATTGACATTAGAATTAAATATTTTTAATCGAAGGATCGTCTATTCGGAATTGCGTTTACTTAAGAGTGCAATAATTGCATTCCTATGTTCAGCGTAGGAACTAAGATTCTTGCCCGTCAAAAGAGCTACTCAACCGCAATTAATTTAAGGGTTTTTATTCAGAGAAGATAAACTACTCAGAGAGACAGAATTTATTTCATATTACTGCTATAAACAGTAAATATCAGAAACCTTTACTAAACCGTAATACAAAACAAAAACAGGAAAATAATAAAGCATTCAAACACATCTCTTCTCCTTGATGACAATATATACAGGTGAATTTAAAACTAAAATGAACTTCAAATAAAGTAACAAGAAATACAGTACAGAAACGTAAATCAAATCTTGGTAATTTGTAAACACAGATTCCTATGAAGCAACTACCAGTCGTGATACGTCGAACACTACATCTTCGCGTGAACAACCCTTTCTGGATTTGGAGGATAACTGTCCAGGAAACAGTCAGGTGAAGTTGCAGGTCTGCACAGGAGCGCCGGGCTTCCTATGAGACCAAGTAGCTCGTGCGAGCGCAGTTGGACATGCCTGATGGTTAAAGAGCCTTTGAAAATTGACTAGCCAAAGTTTGTAACCATAAAACAATAACAATAACTTCATCATAAATTGTCCTTGAAATCTACAGACACTAAAGGAACTATTCTTATTTCAGGAAGGAGTGGAATTTTCAACTCGTAGAGTTTGTATAGCAGATCATTAAATTATAATTGAGTATATACTGAAATATTTAAATTAATATTAACTATACACTACATAGCTGTAATTTTTTTATCCGACTTTTTTTCGGTTTTCCTCGTGACCCAGGCCATTCAAAAACCATATTTGGAAGACATTTCTTGTTTCCAATCCAATTAGCAAGATTGGACATTGGAGCCAATCACGTATTTCAAGAAAAAGAGAAAGCGCTCTATCTTGAGGCTAGGTTAGCCGCCTTATTGTGTTCGCAAGATCTCGTGAAAAGGTGCTGCCATGTACGCTGTCACACGGAAAAGCACCTTTCGAAGGGTGATTGCTGACGACCGACCAATTGGATCGTGGAAGTGGCGCAATTCCAAAGAGCAGTCAGAAGAATTAGTACACCCCAACTCCATTATAAAATGATACTCCGGTTTTTATGGAAGTGTCAATAGTAGACAACGAATGAGTATTATGATATTTAAAGTTAATAATGAAACGAATAAGAATTATCGAAACATCGTCAGTTTTTGTCCCAAACAGAGCCTACTGTCAATTTTCCCTAATCGAAATAAAGAAAATTCAATCTAACTTCCTTGCGATTAATCATTTATTATGAGTACAGTACAACATAGTTCGTTTTATGGGGCATTATTTGTCTGTCCTGAAATCTGACGATATTTGACAAGCGGTTTCCATTTGTAAGCATCGACACGTTATTGACCAATACGATAAATGAAGATATTCAGAGAGTATTAGAAAGAAAATGCATGCAAGAAGACAAAAGTGTCTTCACCAAATGGTTTTAACTTTTACAATAAATTCCGAGTGGAACTCGTCCTCGTGCCAGAGTATAGGAAGGAGTAGATTTTGGCCCAACAGATATCAACTGTCAGGGCAATCCTAATGCCAGAATACATAATATATAAAAGTAAAAAGGGTAGAGTTTTTAAAATAATAATGTTGAATATTTCAGTCGTAATACAGAAGTGTCAACAGAGCAATCACATCCTTCATCGCCTGAACTCAGTGCCACTTGTCACTTACCATCACCATTATCAACAACTGGTTCAGAAATACAGTAATTATTAAAATGAGGAAGGTCTCTTTGGATTGTCATGTTTTCGGGCACGTCAACTGCTCTAGTCATTAGTCCCGACAGTGTAGTGAATGTTTTTAACGCCATTGGGTGGGGATGTTTCTCCCTCGTATGGCGCCGACCTAAACGTCGCATAACTCCCTTCAGATGTCTCCCTTAAGCGAGGCACCACGCCAGCCGGGACAAGTTCTAAGCAAGTGTGTGTAAGTAAGAGGTCGGATGGAACAAGGAAGAGGAAGGAAAGATCGCGCCCGGTCCGTCACCCGTTCAATAGGGAACTGCTCTGGCATTCGCCTGTTGTTGTCCGAAAAAAAAAAACACGGAAAACGACCGATCAGAGCAGCCGGCCGCAAAAATTCTCCTCTAGAAAGTAGCTGAATTCGTTCTAGCTGTGTAACTACTGTAACAAATCCCGCCACCGTCGAAACTCAAACCCTCAGGACCTCTCGATTACAATCGCTCCAGAGGAAGCGGCAATAGTGAGCTCAACACAGGAGGTAAGGTCTCTTTGGACAAAAGTTTGGGTGAAATTAAATCATTCTTTTTGAATTCTAAAATTTATCACAGAATTAATCATCTTTCAAATTAATTTTTCCACCAAGTGACATCAAGAGTGTTATATAGTCGATATATATTTAAAAACAAACCGTCCGGTCCAGGTGTCCACTTACAAAGAACTATTAGCAAAGACATGTCTTCTCCGCCCTCTGTGCCAGGGGCCAAACCCCAAAGAGCACCCGCTCCGTGAACCCACGCCGCGAGAAGTTAATTACACGGCTTAAAA